CTGCAGGGAGCAGGCGGCAGAGCCAGCAGCGCCGAGGCCCCGCAGATTGAGATGCGCGGTGGTTGGTGTAACAAATACCGACTGCCAAAAATCACAAATAACTACTGACAGTGGAAGCTCACAGGCACGTAATTGTCTTCCGTGCTGAAGGAGAGGTTTCCTGCTTTGAAGCTGGTAGATTCACCGGAGGACAGGCTGAAGTCCTTTAAAGAGATCCTCTGGTGAACAACTCATAAGTTGAGGAAAATGGGCCATGAGGAGTATAGGCTCAGCTCACAGTTTTATGCTGACTTTCTGCTGGACCGGTGACACGCTGTCAATAATAGCCTTTTGTTCCAAGTAATTGCAGATCACCACGTGTATTTTTGAGCCATGGAGAGAGGTTCTTTCCTTCTGTCACTAAAATATTGCCACTTATGGCTTGCGATGCAATCTCGTTGCGATGCACGGTACGGAGCAGGAAGATAAAGGAGGATCTGGTATGAAATTAGTAGATGAACATAGGGAGATGAACACCCTGGATGCAGATGGCAAGGTGTATCAGTGGTGAAGGGGAGTGCTAGCACAGCTGTATTGTCATGTTTCTGTGAAAGGGTCGTTATGTGCTTTTTCTGGTACCTGTCTCCTAATTTTTAACAAGTTCTCATTGCGAGGGAATTACTTTGACCTGAAGGCTGATAAGAGTGCTCCTGCAAAGTAAGTACTCTGCTTATGAAAACCACGGATCACAAGTTTTCAGTAATTTGTGAAAACAGCGTCAAGAACACGGGTGCGGGCATATTCGTGAAGCCTCCGTACGCTTTTCCTGCTGTTGCTCTTACCTAGGGGACTTTGTGTCTAATGAGCTTTCCCAACAAAATGCAGCTTGCTGTTGGTACCTTGTGAGATGGGGGCTGTCAAGGTGTGTAGTTACCATTATGAATCACTTGCTTTTTTCTCTTACGTGGTATCCACTTGGTGTCAAGAGGAGCAGTTTTGAGGAAACCTGTGGTGTGATGTTAGCAATACTTTGGTAGATGTCTTCTCTCTCCCACCCTTCCTCCTAAGGCCCTAAATAGAGTCAAGTTACCCTAACTGCAGTCTTCTGTGAGGTGCTTGGCATTCAGTTTTGCATTGTGCAATGTCTCTCTCTGGATGCTTGCGTGAAGCTGGGAACTGTTCTGTGTAGGGCATCATCCCACCATGCTTAACAACCGTTGCGTCAGTGTGATGGTAGATGTGGGTTTATGGAGTTCTGCTTTTTATAGTAGTTGGGAATATGCAGCAGAGAATGGCATTGTGTAGACTGAGGGCTACAGGAAGAAAGACTGGTGCCTGAAATGCACTGGAGGAAGTAGCAGAAAATGGGAGATTTGTGGGAGTTCTGTACAGCTAAAGTAGCAGAACAGTGGGGAGTTTTTTCCCTGGGGGAACTGTAAACAAAACAGTAAGAGATTTGATTTGCTTACCGGTGTATAGCTGTGAGGGTTTTCCTGAAGAGGCATGGGGTGATGTGGAGCCGTCCTTGTGCAGCAGCAGCCTTTGGTCCGTGAGCAAGAAGGCATGAAGAAAATGTCAGACTTCACTTACGAGCTGTTTCTGTTTCTGGTAGCAAGAGGCAAGAAATTACATACGTTTCGTTAGTTCAGCAGATCTGTCAGTATCTATCCTGAGATGCTATTTTGGAACCCATTTGGCTGTTTTACCCAGCACAGTATGTGCGCTTTGGCTACAGGAGTGATTCTGATGAGACCAGAGGCGGCTGCTCAGCACTTAAATGCCCTTAATCTCTGAATGAGGAGTAGCAGTGCTGAGGGTGGCTTGTGAGGTATGTGTTTTCTTCTCAGGGATTAGTTTGAAACTTCAGTTCCTTCTTGATACCAGTTTCTGGTACCAAGCATATTTGTTGTGAGCTGACTTCATCCACGTGTTCAGCTTGTGTAGTCTGAACTTCAAAAACACGTTCTTTGGGTGCTCCAGTCAAGTCTTATGGAAATAGAACCAGCAAGAAGAGGAGGATCAGATCCTGTCCTTGCAACAGAGTGTCTCTGCTGAATTCAGGGATGTGAAGAGGAAGAAGGCCGAACTCAGTCACTGCCAAAAAAGTTTTGCATTAAGCCTCGGCATTTGCACAGGCAGCAGGAACGGTAGGATCCGTACCCAAAGGGGGTTTCAGATTGCAGCAGGGGG